ATGTCTTCTATTTTTCCAATAATAACAGAAATTTTTCCATGCAAATCATTTGTTTTTATCAGATCCGTGGTGACACTTCCGATATCCATGCTTCCATCCACGGCATAAACTTTGTTTGCGTGTGTATCTCTGGCACAAAACAAGCTTAAAATCCCGGTACCACATCCCACATCTAGAATAGTTTTTCCAGCGAAAACGTCGAGATGGCTGTTAATTGCTTTCCGATAAGCGAGAGTTCGCGATTTGTCATTTAGCATTTCCAAATGGAGTTTTAATTTGCCGTAGTTGCCAAAGTATTCTTCGTCTTGCCATTCATGATTTTCTTTGTGATGCGAGGCATAATCCGTCTCGCTTACCACATAAGACGCTGGAATGTATCCACATAGCCCATCCAGTTCACCCCACCACCACTCACTAGATGCCTCGCTTAGAATCACTAATTCGTCACCCTCGCTGAAAGTTAACTGAGTCTCGTCTCCAGCAGCGAAGTCCGATATTGCAACGACTATTTTTGGAGGTTGTTCATTCATTCGTTCGTCTTCCTCCGCAGAGGCCTGCATGTCGTCCATGTTGCAAGTGACATTATATTCTCCTTTGGAAGACTGGGAAGGAAGACGACTTTTCGAGCCGGCGGTATGACAGCGGATTGTTCCGTAACAATATGTGTTCCATACATGAAGTACCTACCATGTGGTCGCCATTTTGAAAACTGCATTGTCATTGGGGAGGCGAGCACGCCAATTTTTTTCTTTTTCGTCTCAAAAATGGACAGAATATTGCGTTTAGGATCAGGTGGTATTCCTGGAGTTGGACAAGTAAGTCAATTTAATGGCAATTGTGCTTTGTGTAGGCTCGTCCTGCATGTAAGTTACCAGCATTTTGTACAAAACAAATACATTTTCCTGCTTGGGTGGCCATAGGGCAGCCAAGTATTCAAAGCTACTGGCCCTTCGAGAAAACTTATTGTTCCTTGCAGACTGAATGCGACTTTTTTTCAATTCCTGGCTCACTGATCGATTGGCGCTCATTTTGTATTTTATATCATATTTCTGTAATCAATAGATCTCTTCTTTGTGAATACGTTTTAGGTAGCCTTTAAGCTTACATGTAGATAGTTTTATAAATTTTTAGACACGATCACATCAGTGTTGCTGTGTTATTGTTGTCGTGTATAAATAAATGTTTTACATTACCATACCATTTCCTTTTTTCTGAGAATTTAGTGTTATACAGTGTACCAAACCTGTGAGCTTATTTACATGTACTCTATCCTCTGTCAGATAAATTTCCTTGACTTAATTATCTTTGTTTGAAAAATGCCTCCTAGGTTGTTGTAGGGAGTATTTAAAAATTGATCACAAGATAATTGTTATTGCAGGCTCCGCCAAGTGACGCGCCTGTTGTAGACACAGCGGAACAGGTTTATATCTCGTCACTCGCTCTCCTTAAGGTATGTCTTCAATCCTAAAAACTTCCATGTGCAGTTAGCAGTTTTTCAACTGTATGTTAGGTTGACAGGTGTCATTCCATAGTATTTGTGAAAATTTGGCAAAAGTGTTTTCCTGCCCAAAAAAAGTCTCCAGAAAGAAAAGATCCAGGTAGCAGCAATGGTGCAGTGGTGAGAGCGCTCACCTCCCACCCATGTAGCCCAGGTTTGACTCGAGCCTGGTGCCATATGTGGGTTAAGTTTGTTGAACATTGGTTCTCGCCTTGCTCTGAGGGCTTTTCTCCGGGTTCTCTAGTTTTCCTTCCTCTGCAAAATCTAAGATCTCCAAATTCAACTTTGACCAGGGTAGAAGACCTACAAGAAAACCATTGAAGGCTGATGTGGCTTCCTCTCTGAATTTATTTATTTATTTATCCCAAAAAACACAAAACTGTGCCTTTCTCCAAAATAAACTACCTGTAAGATTTTATGCCTTGTAATACAGTGGAACCTTAGTTTAACAAAGGGCCAAGAGACTGGCAGAATATTTTCGCTATAATGAGGTCAATCATTAAAGATCACTTGGATCACTGATGGTGCATCAAAGTACCCAATGAATCCACTCTGGGGAAGGATTCATCAATTCCTTTGATGCACAATGATCTGAGTGATCTTGGATCATCGATCCTGATCCAGATCATCCCAAAGAAATGCACCCTTAGTGTTTCAGTTATCTTGTTTTCTTCCCTTCCCGATAAAAGCTAAGCTACACTTACATGTAAGTCATAAGATGTCACCTTCCACTTACGAAATTTGTTGAACTTATCTAGAAACTGAAAGAATAAGTTAGTGTTTTTAAATCCAAAACTTACAATGTTCTTGAACAATGGTTTTAACTGGTAAAAAACTGTTTTGTGTTTTTGAACTGTATTTACACATTGTTGATTTCTCACCTGTCTGTCAATTTTTTTTCTTATACTCATCCACAGATGTTGAAACATGGTAAGTTGTGGTTTCTATTAATTTTGTTAAAATTTGTTATGTATTAAGTTTTATGGATGTGTTGTATGGCAGCATTGTGTGGATCAGAGTTTGTTTAAGTCAAAATTAATGTCTTTTTTATCTACAGGCAGGGCAGGAGTTCCAATGGAAGTGATGGGTTTGATGTTAGGCGAGTTTGTTGATGACTATACTGTGCGAGTGATTGATGTGTTTGCAATGCCGCAGAGTGGAACGGTGAGCCCACAATAAAAAATAAATGTGTTGGTATAAAAGATAGTCAGAAAGAAAGGTCTTACATTCCCTCTGAATGTGATTAATGTGGACAGCAGTTGATACAGACAACATCCAACCTTCATGTTCCGTCTACTTCTGAGTTACTCTCCGATGAAAGCTTGTGTAGCTGTTGTCATACAGTATATAGATTCAGCTTACAATTACTTGTTGACAATTTCAGGGTGTGAGTGTAGAAGCGGTTGATCCTGTATTTCAAGCTAAGATGTTGGACATGCTCAAGCAGACTGGACGGTGAGATAATAATATTTTCTACCAAGATATTACCAATTTGGCTGAGTGACTGTAGAAAATAACTAAACAAATGAATTTCTTGGATGATGGCTAAGCATGGAGTGCGTTTTGTGTAAGCCACACAAAAACAAAATGTCAGTAAGAAAACAATAATTTGTACTTGCTCAGAATAATTAAGACTGAGAGGTAGAGAATGGTCCTACCAAAAATATACCTCATGGAAATTTTGGTGAAATTTCATAACTCTGGCAGTCTTACAGTAGTTTTATTCACAAAGCTGTCGAAGAGTCTTGATTTCTTATGAAAGGCTAAGAAAGTGTCAGGCTTCCAGAAAAAAGTACTAGCCTCACTCCCTCACAAAGGCTTAAATTTACCATTGACCACCTGTAGCCTGGCTTAGGATGTATGGCAAGACCTCATTTCCATTCCTACGTGTTCCTTGTGTTAATAACAATTGGAATGTTAAAGAGAGTGACCTTTAATTAAATAGTAACTACAACACGTAAGTTTCAAACTGTAATTTTCTCAGACCAGAAATGGTGGTTGGTTGGTATCATTCACATCCTGGCTTTGGCTGTTGGCTTTCTGGCGTGGATATCAATACACAACAGGTATTGGATCCTTTGGATCTGCACAACTGTTTTTTTTTTTTTGAGCAAAACAAAAACAAAAACAAAATAAAAAAAAAATAAAATAAAATAAAAACAAGGCATCTTTCAGGGTTAGCATTTTTAGGAAGAAAACGTAACAAGTTCTTATTATTTATTTACCCATGAAACATGGAAGAGCTCATGGAAGAATAAGATTTTTACTCCTTTTTTAAATAATAATTTTTAGATTGCCATATTTTAGTGATAATCTTTGATTATTGTTTATAGTAGATTTTTAACTTTTAGTACATTTAAGAGGGCCACAAATTTATTAGTTGATAAACAATTACGTGTCACCCTCAATAAATAAAGTTTTGATTTAATTTGATTTGATCATGAACTCATTGTAAAAAGTGTCTGAACTTTCCACCTCTTGTACCTTCTACTCCCTGTTCTTGTAGCTTTCTTAATGGCTCCCACCTCTTAGCAATTTTTCTAAAGAAAATATTGATAAGTAAATGTATATATTAATGTTATCTGTAACTCTGTAATTTTGACCTATGCCTGTTTGTATCTTTTTGTACCCAGAGTTTTGAGGCACTCTCTGAGAGAGCTGTTGCTGTTGTAGTCGATCCCATTCAGAGCGTCAAGGGAAAGGTACATGACTTTGTATGATAGGTACTTTTCTCAAGTTTTTTCTACTTTCTCAGGCCTTTTCATGATGAAACAGTAAGACCTATGACTGCTAGTCCTTTTGTATGAGAATCACTGG